ACTATGGGGCCTATGGGTAGTTTCGGCTACCAGGATGTAAGGTACAACAGGAGCAATGTTGAAGTTCAAAAGTAGCGACAAATGCGAACTGCGTTGCTTATGATTCGTGAGTAAGCCGGTACCTCGAACTGAACGGTGCTTAAGCATGAAGAGCTTCATGATATTGACAATCAACGGTAGCAGCAGAGAGAGTTTTCCGGGCTTCGGGGCGTGGGGCCTTTCGGGCTTGGATCTTGGGAACACCTGCATGATCCGTCCGTGGCGCGTGGTTCTGTTGAACACTTCCTACAAAGGCTGAGGAGCATGCCTCGTGGGATTAGGTGTCGCCTTCCCAAGCAAAGTGGTGGTACAAGTATCATTCTTGGGATTAGGTATCTCTCTCCCACTAAAGATGGACTGTCCGCCCCTAGCCATGCTACACGAGGCGGCTCAACCTTTCGTTATGCAGCTGCATGACAAGGGTTACTTGCGATCTCATTAGCGCAGAAGGCACGATCCGGCGCCAATCATGCCGAGAGGGCCGTGTCTTCCCTTGTCGACTGATGAGGAGGATGAATTGGATCATCTGCCAACATCGTGTGAGCTGACGAGCACATCATGGTTTGCACTCTCCAGTCGCAGCCGCAGCACCTTGCAGCCTTCCAAGTCGCGCGGTGTGATGCAAGGCTCGGCTACCGCGTCCCCTACCTTCCTAGGCTTCAACCTACCTCTTGAGCCTTTGCTGATGGCTCCGACAATCACGCTCAGGGTCCAGGTCAGGCGTGGAACGCTGTACGGCCAGCTTTTCGTCTCGCAAAGGCTGCTAACCTGCTCTTGGACGAAGCTGATCGCAACAGGCAGCTTCGTTCTGTTTTTTCTGGTTCCGGAAGCTTGAAACAAAGCTCAACGCCTGCTCAGCAGCAGCACTCCATGACGGTGAGCATGCCCTGCCCGTCGTGCAAGAAATAATCACGTTCATGTGGCATGTGCACTCATGATTCAGAGCATCGGCAGTTTCTAGCCGAAGTACACAGGAGGGAGGCTGTGGATGCAATGCTGAATGCCACCGCCAACTGAGCAGGTTCGCTGTTTGCACGGGAGCAGAGACTCAGGCGGTGGTCTGCGTACAGACATTCTCTCATCTCCACCCGCTCTGCCTCTAGGACAAGGTTGGACATCCTCAACCGAAGCCGATGTAGAATGCCAGCCGATGGGCACCTCCGAGAGGAGTGTTGTGTCCATGGCTCGTCCACGACTCTTTCCGGCACTCAGACTCTGGAGCATGTTCCAGTTTAGCCAGTTGGCTGACACGTTGCTCGGTGTAGATAGGCATGCACTGGGCCTGACCGGCGGTAGCCTGCCCCTCCGGCCATTCCAGGCCAAAGGCCACCCATTTGGCATCGCCCCCTTCCAACCTGGCCTTTCCTTGTGTAACGTCTCTGCACTGCTCTGGGTTCTTCCAACCGCCTTCGTGAGCATTGACCCGATGGGGACCTTCGTTCTTGAAGCATAAGAAGTAGAAGAGGCCGACTCCTTCGCCCGAGGCAATCAATGATGCCACAGCTTGCTTCGGCCCTTCCTCACGTCTCACCATGGTCCGGCCTGCTGATAAGCGCTCCATCAAAGCTGCGAGGGCGGACTGGTTGCCAGCTGGCACGCCAGAAACCTCACCGCTAGCAGACACATGCACCGTAGTTCCGGTGCATCCGAGGAAGGTTGATGCGAGGACCAGCACCGACAAGGGAAGCGGCTGCATCATGAGAAGTGTACGCAGGGTGTCTAGCCCTCTGAACTCTAAACTTGTGGGACAACGGATGGGCTCTAGCCAAAATGCTTTGAACGGCAAAGACACTGACATGAAGCTCACATGAACCGTTCGGCTTGACATCTCACGATGCATCAAATTTGCCCTTCGACTGAAAACTCGCAGACTCATAGACGTCAGACTCCAACGGCCTCGCAGGCGCGAAGGTTCGCGCACGACAACAGCCTTGACCGAGAGACGGCAACAGAAACGGATTTTTTGAGCTTCGAGGATTGACTTCCAGTTGAACTCGCCTTCCCAGTCATTGCCATCCATCATCATGATCGTCGTCGTCGGTATTACCGTAATACCGTCACCATACTCATCACCATCATTATCCTGAGCCTGTTCTTGATCATCTCTGCTGCACAATTATGAATAATCACCGTCGTCGTCAGAACCGAAAGTAGCAGAAAGAAGCACCAGAGGGAGCACGGCCAGCCAGATAATCATAGCGAGTCTCACCATCACCAAGATCACTGCCACCTCCAACCCCAAGACCACGATAGAATGTATTCTTTGCCTTCTTAACACAACAATGGCCTCAACTAGCATCAACAACATGAGCAACACTCTCATTTATGACAATGGGATCACCAACATGAATCCCATCACCACAATCAACAACATAAACAGCATCAAAACCATGTCGCTGTTCGTCTTCATCTGTGCTATCATGCTATCACCTCCACCACCGCCATCTACCGCACATGGTCACGTCGTCGTCGTCGTCGTCGTCGTCGTCGTCGTCAGAGTAGTGGGAGCTTGGCAGTAAGCTGCCACAAAGCTTTTTGTGCCGCCAGGGCCTCTGAGACAGTGCTGAAATGGCAAGTTCCCGAATTCAGGTCCCACCAGCTCTCATCATCGAACTGTAACTTGTGCTGAGGCATGTTCAAGTATGCCTGAGCATAGTCTTTCGGTGAGGCATAGCTACAAGCACCGCTCATGCTGATCGCGTTGCTTCCTCCTGCCGCGGTGGTAATCCGTCCACAACTGTTCCTCTCGCCATGCGCATCCTGCCGAAAGTTGGAATTGCTGTTGACAGGGTAGGCACACTCCACTTCCATCTTTGGCTGCAAAACCAAGCCGGCAACCTCTGTCTCCTGCCGCACGGCGTACAAGGCTGGTGGCAAGTCCCATCTGAGTGCAGAAGCTGACTCGGGCCACGGACTAAATTCTGCGAGATCATGGGTCTCTCGGAGGAGTAGGCCACGTTCGCTTTTGAAAGCCCCAAGCACTTCATCCAAGACCGCAGTTCCTTGCAACAAGCTCTGTCGCATTTGCAGAGCGTTCAAAGCACAGGTGTTATCGTCGCACTCATCGTCCAACCTGCTTACATCCTGGGCTGCAATCAAGCATAGACATGAGAGACCAATCACAGGGCGCATTGCATGCGCCTTGGCTGAAACCCTAGCTGACCTTGATCCTAGGCGTAGACCACTTCTTGAGCCCGCCGAAGCACCTGCGGGTCGGAGGACGCAGAGCCGGCCCTCTGGTGATGACAAAGCAGCGAGGTCGAATCTACTGAATCTACTGACAGTAAGGAATAACTATGCCAAGAACGAATAGTCAGCAGCCAGCAAGAATCAAGCATCATCAAAGAAGCACTGCCGAGGTTCACACTTACAAGTGTGAGCATGAAAGTCGATGATCGAGATTTCGGGAAGCAGGCCTCGTCTCGGAGCTGAAAACATTGGAGGAGCAGCGTCGAGAGTTGCTAAGATAGGGGCCTTAATAATTAGACTAGGGTTTTGGGGTGTGTGTATGTATATAATATTTGAACCCCCAAAAAAGTTTCCTTCACAGACTTCACGGTTCCCACATGATGTGCGTGTTGGTGAATTTGGCGGGGCTTGTCGGTGTGGATCTTGAGTTGGTAAGCTCGGTTGAAATCAAACCTGAGCTGCATGACAAGACATGACGGTGTGGCTGTGTCTTTCTCCTTCGGCTTGTGGCTTATGAGGTCTGTGGGTTGGATCATCGACCGACACCGCCTAGAGGTCAAGGCTGATGAGCACAGCATGTATTGAGATCTCCAGTATCGGCATTCCACGTCGCACTGCGAGACGCGCGACTTCGCTACTGCATCCTTACGTTCTCAAATATCAAGCTATTTTTCTTGAGCCGTCTGGCTGCGTCGCCCACAAATCAAGCTGAGAATCACAACGATCCTTTCAGGTCATGCTTGACTGATACAACACACTGAATCCACATCTCCGAAATTTCGATGGCCATCTTTTCATCGCACAAAGGCTCTCCGAATTGACTCAGCACGCTGCTGACCCATCCTCGCGGCACAAGTGATTGCAACTGACGGCGGCGACAGACAGATACCCTGAAATTCCAACTCATCCCGAGTGCAACACCTCAGGGACCAAACACGCTTGGCGCTGAAGTCTGATGCCTGCCTCTGCACAGCATAGCGCGTCGTACGCACGCGGCCACAGTGGGCGTCTGCTGCGGTAAAACGAGGAGGAGGGGCTGGACCTGTGACGTCGAAGGCCGATCGATACCGATTATTCCAGCCTCTACTCAGCTCGTAAATCTTCGGAACCAACAAATGCCATTGCCGGTGGTTACTCGTGCTGCTAACGGACAAGAGGAGCGGTTGAGGAGAACAAGACTGCACTGATGAGAGTAAGGAGACTCATATAACACAATCGCATCAACACTAGCAATGGCGATAACAGCAGTTTGGCAATGAAAGCCCTCGCAGTCAGACGAGGGCATAACTGCTTAGAGGTTCAAGTTCTAATGCTTACGAGTCTTATGAATGATGGCAAAAAGGCTGATATTGAAATGAGCAAGAAAAATCAGTAGCAGTAACTGAATAAACACAATAAAGAAACCATGACCGCGATAAGGCCTTCCAGGCACCGTCGGTGAGGGCTCACATGGAGAACTCGTCGCTTTCCAGCTCCTCCCACCTCTCGTTCACGCCTGGCGGCCAACGCAGATGCAAAGCGCGGTTTCCCTGAATCCATCAACCGATAGGGTCAATAGGATACATGACAAGATATGCCAAGCCCATACTGTAATTACACAATACTCCTTCTTCAGACCTTCACGTCATGGCGCCATGAGATTCTCATGTCTTCCCCTTTTCCAGCCGATCATGTCCCAACCACCCCTGCAGGAGCCACTTTCTACCTGCTCCCTGGAACAACCGACGGTGGGAAGAGCCGTGTAAACACCGGCCTGTCTTCTTCATGGAGGATTGGAACATGATGGTCTTCTCATCATCCTGGCTCTCAACTTCTGCAAGTTAGTGAGGGTTTTGTAGCAAGTTCAGTGCATTGAGCCTCCTCCACTTCTTCCATCATGGCCGCTTGGGCCCTCGGGCAGGGACCATCATGGGCCGCAACGACGGACAGCATCAAGGCACGCAGGTGGACATGCTTGGAAGTGGTAACAAGCACGCCCGCCGTTTGGCAGCAGTTTCTCCCTTTTCCCAGAGTCCCGTGCGTCTCTACCTCCCGAATCGTGCTCCCGCCAAAGTGTCACACGTAGTTTGCAGTGCGACCTGTGCCACGCTATCCCAAGTCGTGCTCCTGCCAGTGCATCTCTTCCTTCTGAAGTCGTGCTCCCGCCACAGTGTTCGCAAGTGGGACCAATTGGGTCTTGGGAGCATGAGGGCTCCTGGAAATGTTCGAGGGCATGTAGGGCTTAGACTGCTAGACTGTTTGGACTTCAGGCTGCCGTAATGACGGTGACGGGTTACGATAATGATCCTCATCGTGATATGGACGGCCGATGAAGACGAACGAGGATGATAATGATGACGACGACGATGATGGTGGGGATGAGCATGAGGATGAGGATGACGACAAAGATGGAGCGTGCGTGCATCAAAATGGTATTTCCGAGGAGCCAGCTTCCTACCCGTCCTCCGTGGACGCGTCACGGGCTTGGTCATCCCAACCCTGAGTCGAAGCGGTCTTTGGCTTAGGGTCAGGACGAGTTAAGGGCGTATAGGTGCAGGCTTGAGGGTTCGTGCCTTAAGATCTCGGGCCTCGACAACTGATGGATCTGATTGTCGCCATGACTATTGGAACCGCCACTGCTAAATCATGCTAAAAAGATATCGTGTGCCATATATTACCATATTGTCTCACGTAACAACATGTAAGGAAAACTGAGACGACATAGTGCAACATCATTGTAGACTAATATAAAACATGATACAAGTATGGCACAATATAAGACACAAACAAGTTAGTAAGGTATAACATAATATCAAACGATAATATACCAACATATAAAACAGTATCCATGTAATATTCTATGACATAATATAGTATCATATCATATCATACCGTAACATACTGAGGGGTCGGGCTCAGTCGGGAAGCTCGGGGCGATGTTCAGTGTCAGGAGCCCAGGGCGCTGGTGTTCTCAGGGCGCGGCTGCATGAAAGATGTCTCTTCTTCTTGAACGTCATCTCCCATGTCGTCCATGAACATGGCACCTTATCGACATCTGCTTACGCAAAAACCCCGTGAACCCAGGCAATTCAACAACGACGAGCAACACAATCGCTGCTGACACATGCCGTTGCCAGTTGCATGCAGAGAAATCCTCTGCACAGAGCACATCAACCGATGCAAATAAAAAAGGGCGGGCAACAACTTCACCATTTCGAAGCCAGGAGCCTGAACCCCGATCCCGGTCTCCTCCCTCTGTGCCTCCCAAAATGTTCTGCGAAAGAAGCGCCACCAGGAAAAGGAATGCCTGCGTGAGAAGCTCTGGCTTGAGGGCATCGGGCCTTTGGGGTGTACCATCTTCATTCCCCCCAAAACTGCTCTCCATCTGTAACTGTAACCATTTCATCTTGGGCAAGGCTGACATCTCCTGTCGCATCTTTCTGCAGTCTCACCAAACAACCATTCACCCAATTCTCTTCATGGTGACACATTCCTTCAACTCCAGGTAACACGACCCTCGCTTGGTGCAGGGAACAAGGCCCAAAAGTGCTTACTGTGTTGTCTCTGCCCCACGCCTACCAGCACATGGAGCCTTAAATCATGCTCACTCTCCTCTGCCTCTTTAAGTTTAGGCGTTGATGCTCAGGGCTCGTGTTACGCGCACCCCTGAGCCCTGAACTGCCTTGTGCATCATGGCCGCAATCTGTGACGGAGACTTTTGGCCTGGAGCGGGAGGCGAAGCCAAGCCAGCGGTCTATGCTTTGGAGTATCCTTTAATGGAGCCCTTATGGTCCCTAATGGTAGGTATTTGGGGTATGATATGTTCTCCCGGCGGGAAGGCTTCGGAGTTTAACCCCCTGGAGCTTTGGATTCAGACTGGGCTTCCTCGAGGTACTAAGCTGCATCCGACTAGCAGTGCTGGCGCAGGTGGCAGGGACTGGCCTGGCACCGCTAAACACCGCGAAGTGATATGATGACTCTGCACATTACGGTGCTTAGCTTCGGCCCATGCGGCCATTCAAAGGTCAGAGATTTGGGGTATCGACCTCTTTGTACTTTCTTGGATATGTCTTGAATGTGCATGGCTATCTTCGTGCTCGGTATATCAACGGTCTGTCCGAGTGATCTGCGGGGCCCAAGGCCGCGGGACCGAGGCGCCGGCTAAGGTAAGAATGGATGCAGTGCAGGGTTCTTTCTCTGACTAACTGCGAAGGAGGTTAAGGGATTCCTCCTCTTGAGCCAAAGAAGCCCAACCGTCGACGCCATGCTTAGAACAGTGGCAAGCTGCTGGAAAGCTATCAGCGCTGTCAGATTGAAATGAAGAAGACAACCCGAAGAAAACAGGTAGCTGCAACATGCTCAGGAACTTCCCTAAACCCTAAACCCTAAACCCTAAACCCTAAACCCTAAACCCTGGACTGTGAAGACAGAGTAGGCTCGGAGTTCAGGGTCGCAACCTGTAGAATGCCTTTTTTGAGCAGCCGCGAGCACGCTGCGCTGAGCTATCCCGCCAGCACCGCTGCTTCTCGGCTTTCTGTTTCTTGGGGTTTATCAGCTGAAGTTTGAGTGCTTCGGGTTTGGGTCTAGGGGGCGTGACCCGGTGTTATGAGACTCGAAGGCTCAATCGGAATTCATCAATACGGCAAAGCTTCAGTATGAGAGAAGCGATTTGCGTGCTGAGGCTCGAAGCTTCAGACTTGCACCGTTGATGGTGTGGATTTCAAGGTAACTTGCGAGCCTCCAGCCGCAGCGCGCGGCATATGTACATGGGGTTCTGCGACATGGAAACCCTGGAGTGAGAGCCCTTACTTCTCGAGAGTCCGATAGCGCACCAGCATGCATAGTCTGAAGAACCCCACCTGCCGGACATGCCAGCTTTACCTAATGCTATGCATCTATGCCGGCCTGCAATGAGCACATATTTACAGCTCCAGAGGCCAGAGCACGCCTCACTTGGAGATGTACGTGCTTGGGTTCACTCCCACCAACATCTCCACATCCTGCAGCTGAAGCCAGAAGACGCTTTGCTTGATCGAGGATGCAAAAGGTACCGCCTTTCGAATGTCACGAGCCTTGTCGGACTGCGTGTCCGCAGAGACCCCGCCACCACCGAGTGTGTCGTACCTGGCAATGCCGCACCCCACCAAGACGCCGCAGTAACATCTGGACAAAGTGCAAAGGCCGCCAGATGTAGTTGATCAAATCCTCACCCGACAGTCCTGCCCGATGCGGCAGCAGATCAGCAAGGACGATGGCACAGAGACTGCAGATAACTGCAGGCAGGTCCTAGCTCCCCATGAATCTTGCCATAAGCGGTCAGCTCCGCCTCCACATAAGCCTGCGGCGGCTCCGAAGGTCAGGGTGACAATCTTCTGCTTGCCTTTACTGTCACCAAAGCCCGGTTACAAATCTATGCATCCTGCTGCACTACACCTTCCTGAGATGATGAGACACTTTTCAATTTACTGTCGGCCCCTGTTTTCGGAGAAATGCAATCGTCAAGGGCCCAAAGCCTCTGCACTGTGGGCATCGCACATCGGTGACTAGAATACAGTCCCGGGTCTCGCAGCCGGTTCTGCAGCCTCTGATACAAGCCCACGTCGCTCATTCTCCTAATCCCTAAATTAGGCCCCAAACCCTGAATCCCAAACCCATCTAAATCATGAGCCATGCTTCGAATCCCCGCTACCCCTCCCCCCCCCAGTCCAAGGCCCCTCTTCACCATTGATGACGGAACCTCGATGATCGCGGCATCCGCCCGGCCATTTTGCATGATGCGATGCTGGTCCCCGATCGCCTGTTTCGGGCTTATGGTTAAGATTTTTGGGTTCAGGACCCTCTATAATATGCTTCCATATACTCCACGCAATCTGTTTCAAGTGGTTCGCATTACGGCGTAGTGCAATCAGGGTAGACAACAGTGACAGTACCGTGTCATATGAGCGTTTGTGTGATTTTTCGGATTTGCGTCGTGCTGACTTTGACCCATGCAAAAGCACGATAAAATCTTGATGGGGGCCGCGCACGGCTCTCTCCTTCATAAGCCCGCTTTACTCGCAATCAAAGCAACAAGCGGACCTTCATGACTTTATTGGGCTAAGGGAAGTCGAGGGTCTCGGGCGCAGGTTCTTAGTCTATATAACAGCGGTTACAGCAAAGGCCATCGATGCAAAACAGGTTCGACTGTCTGAGCACGCTGCCTTCTGGATGGTGACATTCGCCTGGGCCTGTGTAGATGACCACCATGTTAGGGAGAGTCATGGAGTCAACAAGGTTTCAGCATGGTTTGATTTGATTCAAGGCATGATACATCACGCCTAAACATGCTCACCTGCAAACGTATGCATGTGAGACTGATATGCATATCGGATATCATCCACATTCCTCCAGGACTTGTATACCGTAGCAAACACATACAGATGCACACAGACATACAAACACACATGCGTGCAAGGAACACCCTAACCACAGGGTATCGTAGCAGAACCGGAAGCGACAGCGCAGGGCTCGCACATTCGAGCCTGCTGCAACTTGGTGCAACCAGACAGCTCTGGAGCAAGCCCGCCCCGACCCCGCTCCTCACCTCGGCAATCTGTCTCGCGGTCTGGAACTCGACAATCTTGGCCGCCATGGTCTGCAAGCAGGCCACTTGGCCGCACAAGTCGCTGGCGGTTGCTGCACTCACAGAGACTCGATGTTAGAGCAGGACAGATGTTGAAGTGAAGCTGGGAGATGAGGTTTCTGGCATGCGGTCCATCGATCGATGTGTCTATTCACCGATGCACACAGGCATGCATGCATGCATGCTTACACACACACACACAAAGCCATGCCAACATGTATACGTTCATAGATGCATGTAGATTGCCTCATTCTGTATTGCACTGCGAGATCCCTTTTCATTTTTTATATGCAGTATAAGATTGCGTTATAGGACATCGCGGAAAGGAACTAGTATTTTGTATTGTCCGATATGAACATACCTTTTCTATGTGGCCTGAAACTGTTCTATGCGATATCTTGCTATACTATACTGTGCCGTACTACACTGTACAATACTATGTTTCACGTTACTATTCTATGCGATGGTTTCTTGGCATATTCGCTCATACTGCTCTGTTACAGTCTGTTCTATTCTGCAGCATATTCGATTATACGTCCTATTATCGAAGTTGTGCTTGATCTTATCTTGTAACATTTATCCTGTATTGTTCTGCTTTGTTTCAGCCTATCTCAGATTCTACTCTATCCCATTCCGTTCTGTCGGTTATATCGTTTTGTCTTGCATTGCTTACGCTCATGTCAGATCATATTATATTACGTTTTGGTATACTGTACTACAAGATTTGCTCACATAAAAAATCTTACATTTGTCCATTATGATTATGCCATACCGTGTTGTGTTGGTATTGACTTGTATTGCAATGTCCAGATACCGTCATACTGTTTTCTCTTCGATTTCATGCCACTACATTGCACGTCATTACAGTACACTTCACTAGATCACTTTACACTGCATTACCCTTCACTACATTACGTTCTACTATGTACATATATATACAATACTATATCACATTTCTGCTGAAATACATCACATTTTGTCCGTGGTGCTCGTTCTTGTAACTTGCACCATGAAGCCTACAGGCTAATGTGCGAAACCCAGCCACGGCCTTGGACATCCTAGTGATGTTCTGCTTGCTCGTGGCAGCCGTCAAGATCGTCGTGGTGAACGCCTTGCGCAGAGTTTAGGGTTCCTGTAAGGGATCTAGATGGGCTCCTATAAGGGATCTATAAGGGTACTATAGGGCTTAGGGCTAGTTCGCAGAGACAAGGTCGAGGCACAAATGACGATGTTGATGCTCCTTCAAACCTGCGAGTGCTACAACTTCAACGGATTTGGATTCCACATGATTCCACTCAACATCCCACGCATGCAAAGAAGCCAACAGGAAGCAAACTCATTTAGGGCAGTTTGGGCTTCAGAGTTATGCCTCCCAAACCCAGAACATCGTACCCTGCCGCTGAGGTAAAGCTTAAAAGAAGCACTTCAACAGCCTCCGGCAAGTCATCCTCCTGGATCTGCAAAGACTCCACCGTCGCGAAGAGGTGCTGCCCAAGGGTTCCGCGCTGTTCGTCGGCTTCATTGCAGGCCAAGGGTTCATGGTGCACGGCTTTGAGGCGTAGGGTTTTGGGCGTTTCAGGAAGAGCGCATCCAGCGAATGCAAGGGGCACATGCAACATCAACACCATCATCTTCCTTGGCATGATAATCATTATCACTGCCGTAGACACAGTAATCTCGTCGTCCTGATTGCCAACATGATCAGTGAGGTCATCATCTTCCTCAACAACCTCAATATTATTACTTGCTTGCTTGCTTGCTCAGGGTACAAGTCCGAAGACCCGCGCCAAAGCGCCCCCCCGCTCCCCGTTTGGTTTGTGGGAGGACTTCGGGGTCATTGGGCGGTGTTCGCCCCTTACTATTACTCTCTTGCTTGCTTGCTTGCTAGGGGTCTGGGGTGCACGCACCCCTGGCGCGAAGGCCTACCCCCGTGGCGCGCGCTGGTCTGTCTTGGAGGCCCCTTTCGGGGTAACACCTCGTTCCCCTGCCTGTGACCACTACTACTCTCTCTCCCTCTCTCGCTCTCTCACTGTAGTGTGGTTTGTGGTGGCGCTGAGCCTGTTGTTGTTGGTGGCGGCACTGACTGTTTTTGGCCTTCTTCGCGTGGCTGCTGATAACATGGTGACAACCATTACAAATGCCGTCTTGTACCACTCGTCCGCACTATGATGCCAGCGAGCATCGTGACATAATTACATATCTCTGACAAATCAGTCTGCATGTCCCTGTGGACAGAGTTGCTGCAACATATGATTGGAAGGTCCAAGCCTTGGAGAAGTACTCGTTGAGGTGCATTCTCATATCCTTGTCACTGGTCACCAATCCAACCACAACAACTAAAAAGGCTGCGATGCGAACACAAAGAAGAGAGACGAGGATCGCCGGCGGCGGTGGCGGTGGCGGCGACGGCGGTGGTGGTTTTGGTGGTGGTGGTGGTGGTGGTGGTGGTGGTGGGGGTGGTGGTGGTGGTGGCGGCGGTGGTGGGGGTGGTGGTGGTGGTGGTGGTGGCGGCGGCGGGGGGGGTGGTGGTGGTGGTGGTGGCGGTGGTGGTGGTGGCGGTGGTGGTGGCGGTGGCGGTGGTGGCGGCGGCGGCGGCGGCGGTGGTGGTGGTGGCGGTGGTGGACTACCGGTAGAAGAAGCAGTGGCAGGCACTAGCAAAAGCAGTGGCACAAGCAATAGCGGTTGCAGCGGCCAGCAAATGGCATCTGCTGGCGGAGGAGGAGGAGGAGGAGGAGGAGGAGGAGGAGTTGCTACGAAGCAGCAATCGCAGCAGCTAAGTCGGTGGCCTCCGCAATTTTCTGTTTCTCATTGAAGAACTGGTACGCTGTAAACCTCGAGGTGATATGGCCACAAGAGAGGCCGAAACTGTACCCGGATACATACTCACAGCCCATAAAACGGCCTGTCAGCTGACATGATGCTGGTGACAACCTGGTCTTGCTTCTGACAAAGCTCCAGGCTTTGTCGCCATCTCAGTGATCATATGCATGCCTCTCAGGTTACTGGGGTCTAGGCCATAGTAGCGCAAGCGCAGATTCTTTGTCCCAGTAGGAGCAAACTCGACTCTGTGTCGCACCTGTGAGCTTGAAAATGCGTTCATAGTCGCCATACTCGTTCTCGTACGCGAAGAAGAGGTCGCGTATTCCTCGAGAGGCTTCAGACGAAATCGCGCTGAGTGATTCAGGGCGTCTGCGTGAGCGAAGGTTTACAAGTACAAGGTGTGGGCAGGTGCCTATTGCCGAAGCTTTTGACTTTCAAGGCCTAAGCTTGCGGGGCGTTGAGGCCATGATCTTGCAGATGATCGAAAGACTTTCAAGCCCATGCCCCATATGCTCTATTGTGGTTGTCGTCGCGAGGCCACAGATTCGTGGAAGCCCGAACGTACCCCTAAACAGCCGAACACCCCAAAATCCGGGCCCACGGCTTTCTGGCATGAGCCGGTACTGGAAGGACAAGCCCAGGATCAGAGGCAAGCCATCCTTGCATCTTGTCACAGCAAATGGCCTAGCCTGCATAAGACCGACGCAGAAAGCACAACTATCAGATTGGGAACAAGTAGAACACCCGAAAACTAACAAAAAGAATCATCAAGCATCATCCCATTGCCGAGAATGGTCATCATGCCCATCCGAACGAGTCGGAAAGCTGACTTGGAGCTACGGGGCTGGTCGCTACATAGATGCAAGCGCAAACCCTAAACCCATAACTTAACACCAAATCCTAAACTTCAAAGTCTAAACCCGAAACCCTGAACCCACCCCAATCAAACCCTGAACTCGAAACCCCAAACGTACAATATTTAGGTGCCCTAACATCAACTGATACTCTACACACATGTAGACATGTCTAAATGCGTACATACATACATTATATATCTATATATGCAGATACCCATGTATGTGTATGTATATATGTATATACACAGATACGTGTATATCCACACAAACACATTTAGTTGTGTGCATATATATATATATACATACAAACAGAGTAGGAAGTTCCCAAACCACAAACCCTGGATCCAAGCTCCGGTCCGCCGTCCGGCCGTCCAGCAAGTCTCGGTGGACCTCTAACACTAACAAGATGAATGATCATGATAGTAATAATAATGATAGTACTAATAATGCTAATATGACTTAATGAAATAACTTACAATTATAGTGATAATGACAATACCCGTAATGCTACCACCAAAAATTGCAACAAAAAGAAAGATCTTCATATCGATAAAAATACTCTTCGGAGCGGTCGGGGTTGGAGAGTTGAGTTTGGTTTGAGTTTCGTCTTGAAGGATTAGGATTTAGGAACTAGGGTTGAGGGATTAGGATTTTGGAACTATATTGGGCTACGATGGAAAAGGCGATTAGGGATCCTGTTGACGTGGGCTTCGGGATCGAGATTGGAAGACCTGTTGGAGTTCGTCGAAGTTTTGGGGTTTTCGGAAAATCGGATGCTGGGGATTGGTTGAATTTCCCGACGTTTTAGAGCTTCTGAAAGTTTCGGCGTTCTCGAGATTTCGAAATTGTTGGAAATTGTAGAGTTCTTGTAATTTTCTGAAATTTTGGACCTTGGGAGATTTCGATAGGCTTGAAATGGAAAGATTCGAATTTTGTTTGAGTCCTGACTAAATATTCTGCGACCAGTTTTTGTATGTAAGACCACAAAGGTTCGTCATGCACTTTCTACTTTCCCTCCCTTTTTTCTGACTCACCGCCAGCATGTTGTCATTTTTCCCTTGACATGACGGTCCAACCACTACGAGAAGAACTGGATATGCAGCAACGGACCTGCCCCTGTCTAGGGCAAATGCAAATGGTTGCAATACAGTTTAGGGTTTCAGGGACAAAGGTGCAGCAGTTGTTACTTGCTAGATCATATACAAGTACAAAACTCTCACGACATCGACAGCCTTAAAGAAAAAGTAAATGTGTAAATAGTGGCGAACCCTGTCCTGCAAATCCCACACGGATGCAGAGGGCCTGCCGGTGCACCTCCTTCTGTTATTCAGCATGTCTGCGAGTCGTTTAGGAATGCGACGATGAACGTTACTTACATAGTTTGAAACAAAGTGCATTGCTTGTGATTTTCATATTCCATGTATCTGGTATAAGGCCTAGCATTACATACTAATCCTACCTGTCAAAACTGCGAACATCAATCATATAACGAATGTTGGTAGTATTGCTAACGCTAACCAGATGGTTGGTATCACTGCATGAATACATATATATATATATACATATATATATATATGTATACACATATATATATATATATGTTATCATATGTATACAGCACATACATCCATTGGGTGCAGGCCTGGTTGTACTCCAGTGTCTGAATAGTCTTGGGATACCTGTGCGGTCGAGCCACGTGTGCCCCTGACATAACCATAAGCGCGGGCGACTTCGTTTGTTTCAGAGCTCTTCGATCCTCGTCACTTCTCACGGGAGTCTCTGC